AAACAAGGTGAAATACTCTCCTCAGCTGGCATCTGGATCTTTCTAAAGTCTTGTGCTTTACAGACGAGATCGGGCATGTTTAGGGTGGTATGGCTGTAGACAAAGCCTTGTGCTTTACAAATATTTGCTTTTACCGCCTGGGGCCTGGCATGAGTAGGCCTGGCTTCTTGCCCTAGTTGTGGTCACGTCTCTGGGAACCTAGGTCCCCAGCTTCTCAGGGCCTCAATTTCCTCACCTGTGCAAACTAGAATGATCACATGTCTCTTGGAGGGTTATTGAAAGGATTAAATTATATAATGGATATAGAGTACCTGGAAGAGAGCCTGGACTATAGAAAGTACCCAACAAATGTTACGTTTTTCCATGACATTTGTCAAAAGCAATCTCTATGTGGTGTAATTTCAGCACGAAGGACCCTTTACTCCTGATACAACCATACCTATTTCCTGACACTTGAAATTCCTTTTAGAAAAGACAAAGTTGGTTTGTTTTTTCTTTTACAATTAAATATGGGGTACAAAGAACAAATTGTTCAGAGAGGTTCCATAAATCTGAGAACTAATCATGAAGGGGAAGAGCATTGCAGTTAAAGAAGCCAGAAAGAACAGACTCCCAGATAGCATCTCAGGCAAAGATGGCCCACATCCTGTTGGGCCATCAAGCTCAGGGACTGTGTGTCAACTCTGCAGGTCCCGAAACACAATGGGACAAACTGCTTCTGGGGATAACACAACAGGGGGAAACTTACCTCCATTATAAACACCCAAAACAGCCTTAAAGAGGAATACAATTCTATTACATGCCACAACATGGATGAACCTTGAAAACATGCAGAGTGAAATAAGCCAGACACAAAAGGACAAATATTGTATGCTTCCACTTACATGAGTTACCTACAATAGGTAAGCAAGAGAAAAATAAAATTAGTCAGGCATGGTGGCGCATGCCTCTGGTCCCAGCTACTTAGGAGATTGAGGTAGGAGGATCACATGAGCTGGGAAAGTTAAGTTGCAGTGAGCCATGACTGACCACTGCACTCCAGCCTGGGCAACAGAGCAAGATCCTGTCTCAAAAGAAAGAAAAAAAGAAATGTGACATTTGTAAAAACAAAAACAACATTGAGCTATAAATTTAAGATGTGTCCCCTTTACTGTATGTTTGTTTTACTTTGATAAAAAATTTGTCAAAAAAAATGCGTAAGTTCCAAAGTTGTTATAATTTGAAAGAAAAAAAAAAAGTTCTATTCCATGCAAGGTTTTGTTTTGTTTTGAGACAGGGTCTTGCTCTGTTGTCCAGGCTGGAGAGTAGTGGCGTGGTCACACTGTGTCCCAGGCTTAAGCAATCTTCCCACCTCAGCCTCCCAAGCAGCTGGGATTACAGGCACGTGCCACTATGCCAGGCTAATTTTTGTATTTTTTAGTAGAGATGGGGTTTCACCACATTGCCCTCTCAGACTCCTGAGCTCAAGCAATCCTTCTGCTTCGGTCTCCCAAAGTGCTGGGATTACAGGAAATGGACTTAGGGGAAAAAACAGATATACAATAACTCATAGTATTAAAACGGCTGCAATGGCCAGGTGCAGTGGCTCACCCCTGTAATCCCAGCACTTTGGGAGGCTGAGGTGGGCGGATCACTTGAAGTCAGGAGTTGGTGACCAGCCCGGCCAACATAGTGAAACCTCGTCTCTACTAAAAATACAAAAATTAGCCAGGCATGGCGGTGTGCACTTGTAATCCCAGCTACTCAGGAGACTGAGGCAGGAGAATTGCTTGAACCTGGGAGGCGGAGGTTGTGGTGAGCTGAGATCGTGCCACTGAGCTCCAGCCTGGGCAACAGAGAGAGGCTCCATCTCAAAACAAAACAAAACAAAACAAAACAAAACAAACAAACACAAAATGGCTGCAAGGACTCTGAGTGGAAACACCATTTTCAAATTTGCCACCCCTTAGAAACAGGAGAGACCTATTTCCTAGCTATTTCAAGTCTCCCAAGCTGAACAACAGGCTGCTGCCATATATATTTTAAAACCTTGAGTCCTGACTTCTAGATCCGGGCTCTGGCCCAGCCACTCATTAACTTATGATCTTAGGCAAATTTGTCTTCTTCCTTTTGGTCTAATTTTTCCCTTCCCTAAAACCAGGATGCGATCCCCGTTGGCCACACCATACAGTAGGATCGTGGCTCATGGGGTAAGGCACTCACTGATCCTCACTTTCCTAACTGGAAACTGGGGAGACAGTAGACCTTTGTGGTTCTGTCGGCCCCTCCTCTCTCCTCCTCTTCCTCTGGTAATACCAGCCCCACTCTTCTGAGGGACTTCTCCTGCCTCCTCCACGTGGTTACTTTTGGCTGCATAAGGACCTCCATGACAGCAGCAGGTGCACCAAGGAAGAGTGAGCCAATAACAGAACCACAAAAGGACCTCAGGCCAACACAGGTGTCAGAATGAGTTATGGGCCATCCTGATGGTCTGAATGTCCCTGAATTCACACTCATCTTTTCAAATGTGTGTATTAATAAACCCCCATCTTTGCTTGAAAGTAATAACTACAACTCCCCGCTGACCCCTGCACTCCTGATAAAGAAAATCAAAGACCAAAATCAAAGCCAAACTTCTTTCTGTCAGTTTTGCTCAGGGCTGGCAGCCAATGGAAGCAAACCATGTCTGGCTTGGTCTTAGCCTCTCCCTCTAGCCCTGTGCCAAGAAACTCATGCAGCAATCACACGTTTAAAGTTTAGAGAGGAGTCTAAAGGGAGGAGTAATTGCCAACATCAAGGGGTCATTAGGGGGGCCGCTGCTCAGGTTTGAGTTCTTTGTACACTGATGTCCAAACAATGACAAAAATAGGCTTTCATTGAAACAGGAGATATTTATAGCCACCAAGAAAAAAAAAGAAAAGAAATTTTCACTTGCCAGAGCGTTAAATGGAGGACTAAGACTAGTAGCAGTGTTTCTATCCCAGTAACTTCGGGAATAAAGGACCAAGGCCCTTTTAAGCCCCCAGCCCTCCATTTTGATGAGTATACTGAGCTAGATGCTTTCACTTGCCTTTCTCTCTCTGTCCAAAAGTAAGGCTTTCTGGTGACAGAGGGGCGCCGTAGTGGGGCCTTGAATGTCTGCTGTGTGCTATCAGGGTCTCTGAGGCTCAGTTTTCCTTGGGCATCCATGGTTACCTCTACTAGTTTGGGTGAGACTCCAACCAAGAAGCTAGGGAATGGGCCCAAATAAAACCACACAGGGAAGAACGAAGAGTTGAAGACTATTACAAGAAAGACATCAACTTGTACTTATGAGATGATTGGACAAGGAAACGTGCTTCTGGCATTGACTGGTTGGCGGGCTGTGTCTGTGGTGACTTTGGGGAATTCTGTGAGAACATGCCAGCATGCCAGGTTGAGGTCAGGCCTAAGGACTTGTTTTCAAAACCTATGAAGTAGACCCGAAGGAAAACTGGCTTGGAGCATTGGGAACTCAATCACGCAGCACTTGGAGACCAAACGGAGGCATTAGAGCAAGGAGTAAAGGCCCAGACGTGGTTGTTTTGAAAGCAATTCAGAGAAAGGAGGATTTCCTTTTTCACTATATAGCCTTTTATACTGTCTGAATTATTAACCAAGGCCATGTAACTATAACAGAAAGAAATTGGGTTTACAGTTTTGAATTATTAAAAATGAATTTTTCTTTTCTGTTCAATTCCTACAAGTTCAGATCCCTGGCTTCGCTGGAGGTCAGAGGGAAAAGTCATCCCACACAGGAAGCAGGCACAGGGTTTCCAGTGAAAGCCTCTTCTCCCAATCCATGTTACTCTGTCATTTTCATCATCTGGTAGCTGGCTGGCAATGGCTTGCTCAGGGTGGGGAATGAGGGGGGATGACAAGCTGAATGCTGATATCAGGCTGGGATTTGACCACTCTGGGAGCTGGAGCTCAGGTCTACATGGACTGTGTTGCGGGGATGCTGAATGGCCCAGGTTATCAAAAAAAACCCTGTTGCTCCGTCCATCATCTGAAGACAAGAGGAAGAGTGAATGGGGAAGAAGGTAATATAGGGAATGGTTATGCCGTGTAGTGGCCCTGAGGAAATGGCATGAAGTCTGGTGGTCATTAAGTCATTTCACAAGGAAGGACATATACCTGGATACACACAATAAAGTGTGCAACCTGGGACGGAATGTCCCAACAGGAGTTGGAAGCTGGTAGAGTTGTGTGCCCCAAACCATGTGGCAGACCAGAGACCTTGCTTCAGACCAGAGGCCACCAGGAACTACAATTGTGCCTACAACATCATCCTGAATAGATGCTCTGTGACTAAGTCAGCTCTTCCATCTCCCATCAAACAAGCCCCAATATAAGGCTGAGCTCCAAATTTTACAGTTTGGAACATAATAGGTACCGTTAAAGAAAGTGTATCAGAGTTCGAGGCTGCAGTGAGCTATGTTTGCACCACCGCACCCCAGCCTGGGTGACAGAGGACCCTGTATCTTAAAAAAAAAAAAAAAAAAAAAAAAATGTATCCAGGCTGGGGAGTCTTTTGCTCAGCTTGTATAAGTAGTATTTGTCAGTTATAGTATTATATCTTAATCTCAGTGCTGCTTGGAATCGTTTCATCACAGCAAAACTCACTCTCGGGTGGCTCTGTTAGGTGGAAGAGTGTTGTCTAAATATCCAACTTTTTTTCAGGGTTTCAGAATGAACATTTTCTGTTCCCCACACGTCCCTGTAAGATTTACTAGCATCAGCCAATGTCTAACTCCTAATTTGTCATTTGCCACTTTTTTTCTTATCCCAAGTAATCAGCAATTAGAGTGGGTGTTGGAGAGATCCTTCCCCCCGAAATTGCAGGGCCCTCTTCCCTCAATGGTCCCAATCTTGATGCAGACAGAACAGGGTTGTATGTGGACCCCTGCCCTACATATATCTGGCTCCTATTTATTTATTTCATAAAAGTTGTAGACTATCATCCATAACTGACAAGCTTTAAAAAGCCACACACATCCGAATGGTTTTATACTACATTTAATCAGCATTGCTGTTAATGGCAGCATTGTTTGGTTCTTTTCAGACACTTTACTCCTGGGATCTACAGTTCGCTTCTATTATCCTCTGCAGACAGCACATGCTGGTGCTGCGACTGGATCATAACGTTTGCCATCACGCAACCTGCTGCCATTAGAGCAGCACTATGTTCCTGACACAGTCAACGTAGTGGGTATCAGGGGGTGGTTTCCTCTGACTCCCAGGCTGCAGGAACTTCTTAATTGTAGGGATGTTGCTGATTTCTTGTTTTAAAAGCCTGAAATGAGAAACAGTAAAATCAGGGCCTTAATAGCAGTCACAACCTTTAAGAAAAATCTCAACTTTGTCATCAGTGAAGGGTGCTTAGACCTCAGTTTATGGAGTCCAGTGTGTTGAATCTGCATTAATCCCTCAAAAAGTCTTTGCTGGATATTTCTGAAATGGATAATAATACAACTGCTGACATGTTTAGCATGAGTTATTTTATCTATTAAAAAGTCACAATCAGGCAGTGCATACCCCTAAAATATTCATATTCTTTTTTTTTTCTTTTGAGATGGAGTTTCACTCTGTTGCCTAGGCTGGCATGCAGTGGCACAATCTTGGCTCACTGCAACCTCTATCTCTTGGGTTCAAGCAATTCTCCCACCTCAGCCTCCCAAGTAGCTGGGATTACAGGCACACATCACCACACCTGGCTAATTTTTGTATTTTTAGTAGAGACAGGGTCTCACCATGTTGGCCAAGCTAGTCTTGAACTCCTGACCTCTAGTGATCCACCCGCCTCAGCATCCCAAAGTGCTGGGATTACAGGCATGAGCCACCACATCTGGTCACATTCATATTCTTGACCTATCAATTCTTGTTTTAGGAATTATTATAAAGGAATAAGTATGGGTGTGAGCAAAGAAATAGCTATAAGAGGCCAAGTGTGGTGGCTCACACCTGTAATCCTAGTACTTTGGGAGGCTGAGGTGGGAGAATTGTTTGAGCTCAGTAGTTCAAGACCAGCCCAGACAACAGAGTGAGACCCCCATCTCTATAAAAACTTTTTTTGAATAAAAGAAATAGCTGTAAGAATGTTAACAGGGGCCAGGTGCGGTGGCTCTCACCTGTAATCCCAGCACTTTGGAGGTTAAGGTAGATGGATCATGAGGTCAGGAGTTTGAGACCAGCCTGGCCAACATGGTGAAACCCTGTCTCTACTAAAAATACAAAAATTAGCCGGGCGTGGTGGCACGAGCCTCTAATCCCAGCTACTCAGCAAGCTGAGGCAGGAGAATCGCTTGAACCCGGGAGACAGAGATTACAGGTAGCCGAGATCACGCCACTGCACTCCAGCCTGGGCGACAGAGCAAGACTCTGTCCCCCACCAAAAAATGTAAAAAAAGAATGTTAACATGGTAAAAATTGGAAAGAACCTGTTTCTAGGAAAAGGAGACTGGTTATGTAAATTATGATACTCTACAAGGAGTATAAACTAGTAATTTAAAATGTTCTTATGTAATAGGAAAGAGGAAGGTCCTTGAGCCCAGGGCAGAACAGAATATACACTATTTTCTGTTTTGTGCAAGGAAGTTGAGAGTTGCAAAGAATATGACTATATATTCTAATTTGCTTTTATCTGCATAAATAGAAACACTGGAAGTATACATAGGATGCCAATAAAGTGATTATGGGAGCAGGGTGGTGGGAGGGAAGGGGTGGGAATAAGACTTCTGAATTTATGCTCTTTTTACATAGCTCTCACTTTTTTTTTTTTTTTTAGATGAGGTCTCACTCTGTTGCCCAGGCTGGAGTACAATGGCATGATCTTGGCTCACTACAACCTCCATCTCCCGGGTGCAAGTGATTCTCCTGCCTCAGCCTCCTTAGTAGCTGGGATTACAGGTGAACACTACCACACCTGGCTAATTTTTTATATTTTTAGAAGAGACGGGGTCTCACCATGTTGGCCAGGCTGGTCTCAAACTCCTGACCTCTAGTGATTTGCCCGCCTCAGCCTCCCAAAGTGCTGGGATTACAAGCATGAACCATCGCACCCGGCCATAGCTCTGATTTTTTTTTAAGAAGATGTGATTCTATTGATTAATGAAAATAAAATAGCATACTATTGCAAAAGAATATTTGTTGACCTGTAAACTTATTCATGATAATTGAAAAGGATGTTAAATGAAGGCCACAAAACAATCTTCAGTATGACCCTATTTGGAGGGAAAATGCAAAATAATAGGTCAGGAAATCTCATGCAGATAACATTTGGCTGGTGAGATTATAGGTCTTTTTTCTTTTCTTTTTTGAGACAGTCTTGCTCTGTAGCCCAGGCTGGAGTGCAGTGGTGCGATCTCGGCTCACTGAAACCTCCACCTCCCGGGTTCAAGCAATTCTCCTGCCTCAGCCTCCCAAGTAGCGGGATTACAGGTATGCACCACCACGCACAGCTAATTTTTATATTTTTAGTAGAGAAGGGGTTTCACCATGTTGGCCAGACTGGTCTCAAACTCCTGACCTCAGGAGCTCTGCCCACCTCGGCCCCCTAAAATGCTGGGATTACAGGCGTGAGCCATCGCAGCCGGCCAGTCTTTTTTCTTGTCTTCTTTTGGTTTACACAAACGTCTAACATAACTATATGAACTTGCATTTCTTTTATTGTAAGAAAAATTGCTAATTCTTAAACCACAAGACCCCTGGTTACCTATTAGATAAAATGTTTCTCAGGAATTGGAACAGAGGCCAGGTAAGGTCTGGCAGGAGGGGAATTCTGTCTGAGGGCTGGGGCAGTGCCACAGGAGACTGACAGCACCCCCTAAGCAAATGTTTTGAAAAATGGAGGAACTATGTGGGAGCCCACAATCAGGGGGACTAAAAGCAGGCAGGGTCATCTGGTAGGACCTAGAGGGAGAAACAACAAAGACAGACGTGTGAGCTTTGCTTTGCCAGGAAGAAAAGTTTTAAAAGCACTAAAAACAGGAAAGTTTTTAATGTTCATGCTAAACATCATGATGTTTAGCATCATGCTAAATGTTCATGCTAGACATCAAAATAATCAATTATTTTCCCCCTTCATAAAGTTTTATTTCGTAACAGATCCTATAGATAAGCAAGAGAAAAATAACCAAAATGAATAAAAGAATGATTTTTTATTTACTTTTTTTTTTTTCAAGAGGAGTCTCGCTGGGTCCCCAGGCTGGAGTACAGTGGCACAATCTCAGCTCACTGCAACCTCCGCCTCCCGGGTTCAAGCGATTGTCCTGCCTCAGCTTCCCAAGTAGCTGGTATTACAGGCACACGCCGCCACGCCCAGTTAATTTTTGTATTTTTAGTAGAGACTGGGTTTCACCGTGTTGGCCAGGATGGTCTTGATCTATTGACCTTGCAATCCGCCTGCCTCAGCCTCCCAAAGTGTTGGGATTACAGGTGTGAGCCACCGCGCCTGGTCAGAATGATTTTTAAAACAGTGTTCTTGGGCTGGGCATGGTGGCTTATGCCTGTAATCCCAACACTTTGGTGGGCCAAGGCCAGGGGACTGCTTGAGGCCAGGTGTTTGAGGCCATCCTGGGTAACACAGAGAAACCCCCATCTCTACAAAAAAAAAAGAAAAAAAGTTAGCCAGGTGTGGTGGTGCACACCTGTGGTACCAGCTACTCTGGAGGATGAGGTGGGAGGATCGCTTGAGTCCAAGAGGTCAAGTCTGCAGTGAGCCATGATCATGCCACTGCACTCCAACCTGGGCAACAGAGTGAGATCTTGTCTCAAAAAAACAAACAAAAACAACAATAACAACAACAACAAAACCCCACCACACACACAAACACACACACACACACACACACACACACACACACACACACACGCCAGTGTTCTTAAGTTTCTTTTGAGATTGGCCTAGAGGCATATTTTGCTTCAGTCTTTGTTCATTTTTTTCTGGGCTTTGTGTGGATGTTAATACACTACCTTTAGTAGAGGGAAGTCAGAAAGAACAGAAGCATTGAGTTCTTCCACCATTAAAATAGCTTCTAACAGCTGTATGTCTGCCCGGCTGAATTTGTTGCCAACAAGAAAATCCTCTCCATGGTCATTCAAAATCTACAGAAAGAAAAATAATAAAGAATATCAAATGAGAGTAAAAACCATTTTGCATGTCTAAATACTTAACAAGAGCATGAAGCCTTTGTTCTGATTAGATTTAATAAAGAATCTTAACAACAACAACAAAAAATCTCCAGGGCTGGTAAGAATAGGATGAAACCAACACTCTAACACATGTTGTAAACTGGCACAATTTTGGTGGGGGTAATTTGTCAGTGATTATCAAGGCCTTTTGGGTGGTGAAATGCTGGTACTGGACTCCTGTTATAAACCTGGAGGTAGCTAAGTAAAATTGTATCCACCAGTGCAGAGAGACACAAAAGTTACAACTAGCTTAAGCCTGCTGGCTATACCACCAATAGAAACAAGTGACAAATGTGATCCCAGAAGTCCAAAGCAGAGCCACGTAGAAAGCTAATTTTTCACTATCCAGTGAAGAGTGAATATTTAGAAACCTCTCAGGTGCATCTGTGAGTACCAGATGCATTAAATGTGGGTTCACTTGATAAATAAGGAGCAAAGGTAAATTCAAGTGCTATGTCTCTTCTTGTGATACATGCAAGAATAAAAATAAATGTTAGTGTGGATGGGGAAAAATCGCCAGAATCAGTGAATTCTATAGTACAAACACTTGATGAGATATATCAAATAAATGAAATGGGACTCCTGCTGAAGACAAACTCACAGCTAAAAATTACACAGCATATAAGGAAACCCAAGTCATCTATGAGACAGAGGTAACAAACTGATGAAAAAGAATTTTGAACCACAGAGCCAAAAATAAGAGTCGATTCTGTAAAGGGATAAAAATGTTTTCAAATCAAAGAGATGATAAAAAGGTGTTGTGGGTGAGCAACCACTCTCTGGGCTGGTGGCACCGGGTCAAAGAATTTACCAAGATAGTTGTAAAGAAAGGCAGATTTGTTCAAGAAAGTAGGAAACTATGTTGCGAGGAGGCAATGGGCAGGATCTGCAGAAGAGAAGCTGACTGCAAAGAAACAAAGGCTTGCTGAAGATTTTATAGATAGTGTCTATGCTGTCTGCAAAAGAGGGCTTTGTGCAGTACTGATAATGCCGTGATTGAAGTGAGCTAACGTGCAGGTGTCTGGTGATGGTTGGGCACAGAAAGATTGTGAGTTGTTTGCAATTTATTAATCTAGAATTCTATAAACATCTAAATCATTATTTTAGAGTAAAGGTAAAAATACAGATATTTTCTAGCAAAGACTGAAAGAGCTAACCACTTACAGACCTTTCCTGAAAGAACTCCAAAAAAGACGTGCTTCCCTTAGAAGGAAAAAGCACCCAGAAGAAAGGCATGAGAAGCAAGGAGCAATGGTTAGCTAAGGAATCAGTTAAATGTGTTCATAAATACACATAAGTTGTAGCTAAAAAAAAAAAATTAGAAGAAGTTTAAAAACAAGTTGGATATAAAATATTATTTAACAAAAACAGAAACAGGAAGAAGTTTGGAGAAAAGTTGAATCTTTGTCCTATCAAGAGAAGGACAAACATTAATAGTTTCAGAAAGAAATGTTTACCTTCTGAACCATAGAAGAAAAGCTGGAGATAAAGAAAACAAGATCATCTGCCAGGATCTAGAAAAACAAAGGAAAACTCAAAGAAAAGTTTTGTTTTTGTAAATAGAATAAATAAAGCGAAAAGGATAAATACAAATGTATTAGCAATGACAAGATATTTGCCTATAAGGCTCAAAAACATAAAGTTGGTTGATAAAAACAAGTAGTAGAACAAACTTATAGTATGATGCTATGTACATAAAAATATTTTAAGATCCACACGTGTAAATACTTTTAAAACAGCTCAAAGCCAGGTCTCTATTTTTAAAAATGAAGAGAAAGAATTTACATCAAATTTCCGATAGTGGTTGCCTCTGAGAAGGGAGAGAGGAAGGGTATAATGTTTGAGTACAGTTCAAAGGAGACTTCGGCTATCTATATACATTTGTTTTAATGAGAAAGTAAAATTCTTAAGCAAGAAAATAAAAGTACTGACATTTGTTACTGCCAAGTAGTAGGTACATAGCAGTTCTGATTCTGAAAATATTTTAAATACGGTTGACCCTTGAACAACACAGGTTTGAACTATACAGGTTCACTTATACATAATTTTCTTCCACTTCTGCCACCCCAGAGACAGCAAGACCAACCCCTCCTCCTTCTCCTCCTCAGCCTACTCAACGTGAAGATGATGAGGATGAAGACCTTTATGATGATCCATTTCCACTTAATGAATAGTAAATATATTTTCGCTTCGTTATGATTTTCTTAATAAAGTTTTTTTCTTTCGCTTACTTTGAATATAGTACTTAATACATATAGCTACAAAATATGTGTTAATCCACTGTTTATGTTATCAGTAAGGCTTCCATTCAACAGTAGCTTATTCACAGTTTTTGAGAGGTCAAAAGTTATATGCCCCAATTCACATGTTGATCGGGGTTAATTGTAATGGAATACCCGGCAAAATTATCTCCTGTATAATCATAATTATCTAAAAGTCCAAAAAACAAATAAAAATGTATTTATATGGGAAAAACTAGGAAGAACCATGTAAAAATAATACTGACTGAGATATATCTTTGGGTGTGAGGATAGTAGTGGTTTCTTTCTACATTCTACAGCTCTGTGTTGTCTAATTTTTTATATAATGAACATCTACTTCTTATAAAATAATTTTTAAAACTCACCTCATTTTCAGAAATAAAATTTGGTATCTAAATACAAAAACTTGGACTTAACATATTTTGAAATACAGCATCTACATTATTGAGTTGAAGTATTATGTTGAAGTACAGTATTCTTTGATTTGGAAAAAGCAGTTTAGTTATCCAGTAATAGGTGAATAAGAGAAGCAGGGTTTGTTTTCTGCTCAGTATCATTCTCTTCACTCAGAGAAAAGATCTATCCCAAAGCCCCAGAGAGATGCTTTGTTTGAAACAGCAGCCTCCAGGATATATTCTCTTGATCAGAAGGAATATCATGAAAAGATGGTTTGGCAACTAAAAAAATAACACAAGCCCAAGCCTCAATGGCAAGTAAGGGTGACGTCGCATTTTGAATAGTTCCCAGTTCTTTAACTTAACATAAGGAAATTAGTAACTTTGCATTTAAATCCAAAACACAATCAAAACTCTTCAGTACATTGTGTCTTACAGAATAGAAGTAACATAGTCCTGGCCAAAGACTAGACCCAAGTATTAAGCATCTACTTATTTCAGAAATAACAACTATGATATAAATGAATCATATCATTCCACTTTCTTAAAAGATTCTCTGGGAACAAACTATAATAGACACTAAGGTACATTTTCAAAAACTATCATATCCAACTCCAAGTTAAATAAAATAGTCTTATAAATGAGCATTCTAAATAATCCAACATCCGATTAAGGAGGGTTTTTTGGGCCAGAATGCATCACCCAGGTGCCACACTTCACTGCTGTGTGTCAATAACAGAGTTTTTTTTTTTTTTTTTGAGACAGAGTCTCACTCTGTTGCCCAGGCTGGAGTGCAATGGTGCGATCTCAGCTCACTGCAACCTCCACCTCCCGGGTTCAAGTGATTCTCCTGCCTCAGCCTCCTGAGTAGCTGGGATTACAGGAGCCCGCCACCACACCCAGCTAATTTTTTATATTTTTGGTAGAGACAGGGTTTCACCTTGTTAGCCAGGCTGGTCTCAAACTCCTGACCTCAAGTGATCCACCTGCCTCGGACTCCCAAAGTGCTGGGATTACAGGCATGAGCCACCGCACCTAGCCAATAAGAGAGAATTTGAACTGCAAGCTCTTGAGGTTGTCAAAAGAGGCCTGGAGTGATGGAGCCCCCAAAGCAGTCTCTTCCAGCTGCCAGCTGCTTTGCCTGTTTGTGCCGATGCCATACAGATATCATCATTCTTTATGACTACTATGGCACGAAAAAGTTAAGCATAAAAGAAACCAGAGCTCCTTAAAAAAATGGCCGATTGCCGGGTGCAGTGGCTCACACCTGTAACCCCAGCACTTTGGGAGGCCGAGGCGGGCAGATCATCTGAGGTTGGAAGTTTGAGACCAGGAGTTCGAGACCAAGGCCAACATGGTGAAACCCGGTCTCTACTAAAAATACAAAAATTAGCTAGGCATGGTGGTACACGCCTATAGTCCCAGCTACTAGGGAGGCTGAGGCAGGAGAATCACTTGAACCCGGGAGGCAGAGGTTGCAGTGAGCCGAGATCACGCTACTGCACTCCAGCCTGGGTGACAAAGTGAGATTCTGTCTTAAAAAAAAAAAAAAAAAGAGAGAGAGAGAGAGTTTGTCTTTTGATTGAGGCATAATTAGCCTCTAGTATTAGACCTAAAAAAAAAAAAACCTGATAGTATTCACGGTGGTCACACCTTAGGCTGATGTCTTATTTTAAAAGACAGAACAGAAATGCTGTATGCTTTCATTGTACTTGGTATATTCCAACTCCGTTTCATTGGAGGTTCCATAATTTTACCTGTAATTTGTTCTGGATCCTTTTTAAAGTTTTGATCCAAAGGCAGTAAAGCTCTAACATGGCCTCTGTGTCTCTTTTCAGATATTCGCTCTTGAAATATTCTCAGAAACAAAATGTAAAAGCCCTGGATACCTGAAGCCTACCTTTTCAAAGGCAGGCAAGTACCGGGTTTTAGCTTTCTGCATGATGGAAGCAAGCGTCTCCTGTTTTTCCTCAGGGAATTTGAAGGGGGCCATAATTATCATCATCATCAGGACCTGGGTGCCATCAATGTACATGTTGATCCTGACAAAACAACCATTTGACCATCAAGGAGGTTTTGAGCGTAGGGTTCTTACTCCAACACTTCTCTGGTATAAATGGATGCAGGAGCAAATAATGTTTATTTTTCCTCTTAAGCTTCCACTCTCGTGAATGATTTCTAGCACCAGAACCAGCCAAGTGCCCAGGATATAGTAGAGTCTCTGGAAATGTTTATTGAATAAAAGGATGTATGAAAGAATTCACGAATGCCCTTAAGTTGAAATCTACCATAAACAAATAATTGATTATTATGGCTTTAAAAACTAAACTCAATGAAGTTTATTAAAACTACAAAACAATTAGTACCAGAACATTTTCACTTATTTAGAGAAGATAGATAATTTAACAGGTCTTCTGTTGACCTGGCAACTGAGAAAGAAATGTTTAATTTCCTTTAAAGTTTTCCTTTCATTGCCAAGCACTAAATAAATAAACAAACCATAGTATCTCTATTGCTGTTATTTACTGGCCTATTATACGTTCATGCTGTGCTAGTTATCTCTTCAAGAGTGTCTTTGTATTCCCCATTATATGCTAATTGCTTAATGAATTTGTTTTAATGGTCTTTTGTAGTCTTTTTCTTTTTAACAGCATATAAAGAATAATGGAGTCAGGCTTAGTGGCACATCTATGGCCCAACTATGCCGGAGGATGAGACGGGAGGATTGCTTGAGCCCAGCAGTTTGGGTCTGGCCTGGGCAACATAGTGAGATGCCATCTCTTAAAAATTAAAAAAAAAAAAAAAAAAAAAGGCCTGGCATGGTGGCTCACACCTATAATCCCAGCACTTTGGGAGGCCAAGGTAGGCAGATCACTTGAGGCCAGGAGTTTGAGACCAGCCTGACCAACATGGTGAAACCTATCTCTACTAAATATACAAAAGTCAGCAGGGTGTGGTGGCACGTGCCTATAGTCTCAGCTGTTTGGGAGGCTGAGGCAGGAGAATCACTTGAACTCAGGAGGCAGAGGTTGCAGTGAGCCGAGATCACACTAGTACACTGCAGCCTGGGCAACAGAGCATGACTCCATCTCAAAAAAAAAAAAAAAAAAAAAAAAAAAAAGAATGAATGAAAAAGAAAAAGAAAAAATTTAATAATATACTTTCATTGTCCTGTTTGAATTACAAATAACGTTTCTTTCATGTTAGTGTCACCTAGTCCACTTGCTTTAGTTTACTGTAGTTTATGGCTAACCCAAAGAAAAAGAATATTAACAACACCATCTATAGCTCAGGGCTTGTCTTAGAAAAAACGAGATTTTTAAAGACCAATTAAAAACTTTGCATCAAAACAATAAGAAGCAGAGTGCATTTGCATATTTGTACTTATTTACAAAAGTATCATGTTCACATACTGTTTGACATTGCTTCTCCTGCCATATACCTTCGGAATTACAGGTTGGAATGACTAAGCCTGTTTTAAAGATGAAGATATGGGAAAGTTGGCATGGGCTGCTACTTTTTGTGGGCCTTGCTCATTCCTGTGTTGTTCTTTCTCCTTTTTCTGAACAATTGAGCCCTGGTCTTTCTCCCACTGCGTCTTCTGTGTATACTGACCTTGCGCACTGTGTCCATGCTTATAGTGATGACTGTTTAGGGACCTCTGAACAGGCCCCATGACCCCAAATCCAGGTAAGATTTTATAGTTGCAAGTACTTGTTTTGTCTTAAGTCTAGTTATTTCTTATGAAACTAAACTATCCCCGTGAATAATTACCCAATCATTTTCTGCCAGGCCTAGCACAATGCCCAGCGTAGCATAGATGTCTGTGGTATACAGAGGCCAAAAAATGGCCAAAAAACTTCACCCTCCTGTATTTGTGATGAAACTTGGCAGCTCCTCCCATCAATAGATGGGGTCTATTTCCCAGTCTATCTGTGGCTTCCTTTAATGAGTGGAATGAGGTAGAAATGATGAGGTGCCAATTCTGAACCCAGAACTTAGGAGGCCAGTATGCTTTCACTGTCGCTCTCAGAACTCTGCCTCGCTGCCATGAGAACAAGCTCAGGATGAGAGGATGAGAGACACATGGTCCATTCGTATCCCAACTGATAGTCAGCCAACACCCATGACCAGAGCCTGGCTAACTACAGACATCAGTGAGTGCAGTCTAGCTAAGTCAAGCTTGACTCACATAGGCCACCCAGATACTTGCTCACCCATAGACAGGTAAGCAATAACAAATGCTTGCTGATTTAAGTCAATGTGTTTCAGGTTTGTTTTAGAGTTTTCAAGATACGTTTTAGAGCATTATTTATAGTCAATAGATCATTGATACAATGCTCAGTATGTGTGATAAATCAGTCATTTCTACCTTCATGTAGAATAACTTACCAGTTTATTTTCTAAGAACATATTTTGTTAGGAGTGGGGAGAGAATATGAGAATGTTGAATGCAACATTCAGTGCACTATCAGTAGTACACAGAAAAGGGGGATGTGGAGTACTTATTAAGAATAAGTACAAGGTGGCTGGGCACGGTGGCTCATGCCTATAATCCCAGCACTTTGGGAGACCAAAGCAAGTGGATCACTTGAGGCCAGGAGTTCGAAACCAGCCTGGCCAACATGGCATAACCCTGTCTCTACTAAAAATACAAAAATTAGCTGGGCATGGTGGTGCATGCCTATGGTCCCAGCTACTCAGGAGGCTGAGGCATGAGAATTGCTTGAACCCAGGAGGCGGTAGTTGCAGTGAGCTGCGATCATGCCACTGCACTCCAGCCTGGCAACAGAGTGAGACCTGTCTCAAAAGAAGAAAAAAGTATAAGTACAAGGCATGCCAGGTCTAGCAAGTCATTTCCCCTTTGTCCCATTTGTCTTTTTTGTCTCAATCCAGGCTGAAAGGTACACCTGAACCAGGTCTCAGTTGGTGGAGAACTGAAGAAGTTTGACTAAGAATCAAGTAGAGTAATGAACACTATAGTACCTGACTCTTTCCTTCAGGTCCTTCCCATAGAAGTTGTACTTCGCAGCAAGATAGCTGAGGATGGCTCTAGTCTGTGTCAGCACCATTCCATCCATTTCAACCAAAGGCACTTGGCCGAAAAGCAAGCGTCCATCTGTGGTTTGAGCAAAGAGGGGTTAAGATACCCTTATTCAGTAGTTGCAGTAAATCTAAGGATGGTTCACTTCTAATTTCTCTCTGTGATTTTTAGGTTCTATCCAAAGTGATGAATTAAAGACCCCAGTTGTTGAGGAAATGGCTACCATTTGCTTCATGTAAAATCTGAGATTCATTTGGCAGTCTCATGCATTTTTGTGTGTTGGTTAACGTGATTATTTACGATTTTCTGCATTACTGTAAATATGTTATAGTATAAGTGCTTCTGATTCTCAAAGTTTAGGGTGTTGGCTGGGTGCAGTGGCTCATGCCTGTAATCGCAGCACTTTGGGAGGCTGAGGTGGACGGATCACTTGAGGTCAGGAGTTTGAGACGAGTCTGGCCAACATGGCGGGGGGGGGTGGGAGGTGGGGGGAGTGGGGATGTGGGGATTCTTAAAGGATTCTTCAGTGAGATGGGAAGAATTAAACCAATTATTGCGGACACATATGATTTTCATTCTATCCTCTTAACCAAAGTCACTGTCATGACCTACTTGATAAGAGTTTCTGAAGGCTAATTGGTGTGGCCTTTGCTGACGCAAATTAAGCTGTGTATCAGGAACATGATGAACAGCCAATCAATGTTAGCAGTCATGCTATGTGCTTGCCTTTTCTAACAGTAGCCATTCTAGAGCTCTGTCTCTTTTATCAAAACAAATACTTCCCAAAGCAGGTTTCCATTTTTCTCTAATAAGATAATATTGAACAAATCTAGGCTTACCCTTCTGCAACTTTCATATTGTTCTCTTGTTTCAAGAAATTCTTCTTCAAACTAAATAAAAGATAAAGAGATATTATTCCAACTTTAAAGTCCTCAACAAAGAGATTTTGTTTTTTGTTGGTTTTTTATTTTTGCTCCCATTCCTCTTTTTCCTTTTCATCACCTAAGTTCTTCCTTCCTTCCAAACTCATGTCCTTTCTCCAACTTCCCCAGTGATTTTTCCTCTTCTTTTTCTTCTTCCTCGTCTGTTATTTTCCCTTCATATAAAGACAAGTTAAATTTATCTTTAATGCTCATGTATTCAATGAAAGGAATCCAGAGATCTTTAATCAGGTGAGATTATCATGATTTATTGATGATGTTTCTAAAGCTTTTGTGAGAAAGATTGATTTTTTTTTTTGGTCCCCCCAAACCTTGAGATGCGGGTAAGCAGTGTAAGGGGAGATGTCCCTAAAAGGAAATAGAGAAAAATAAGCAAGGTAATGAGTCCTTGCTCTAGAGGAGATAGCATTCAGATAGGGAAAAGGAAGCCTACACCTGCATAAAACAATTCCAAGGCACTTGTAAAAATCTATGAAGAAGTCAGTGTGGAGGGAATTCAGAGTTAAGGAAAGATCCCATAGGGTAGATGTTTCAAGGGAGGAGTTAAAGGGGAGGCCAGACTGCAGCTGGGCCTAACATTCCAGCTGGCAGCCATGAGTACTACAGGACTAAGGTGCTGAGGCAGAGATGAAAGACCCCAGAAAATCAGCCAGTCCCAATGGAGAGAATGAGGCAGATGTGGGTCTCCTCTCTCTTCTTTGTCTTGTGATCCACAAAAATCTTTTTAGCCCCTATGAAGCTTCTGGAACACCACCTCCCCTGACAGCTCCCCAAATCCTCCCTAATCCTCCATCATCCTATGATCCCTCCCTCACCTCTTACAAAGGAAGACAATAGGAAAGGAAAATAATAGATACAGCCTGTAGGCACCATTCCGAAGCCTGAAGAGGAAAGGAGGCTACTTCATTCCCACCCAAATTACCATCCTTCCCAATCCCAGTCAGGAACCAACCTCCTCTCCAGCTGCAGCCAGCAGCCAGCGGATGGACTCCATCCTGCCCCTGCCATGAAAGTAGTAGAGCTTGGGTCTGGCTGCCATGATTCCTGGCTCTAAGTTTTCTAAAGGATATAAAAAAAATTAAACAATATACTGACAAGTCATGTGGTATTTCTTCCCTATTTATAGCAATTCCAAAACAGGTAAAACAAAACTATTGTTGAGGGATTCATACATAGGAGGTAAAACTATGAAGCAAAGCAAGAAAATAATTACCAAGGAAGCAGGATAATGGTTACTTCTAGTGAGGAGAATGGGGTTGTTATTGGGGAGGAGCACTTAAGGTTTCTGGCATGCCAACAATGTTCTATTTCTTAAGTGGAATTAGTGGTCTTTATAATTAGTCTTAAAATTGCACATAATGCATTTGCACCCTACCCTATAAATGCTCTAGCTCACAATTTAAGAAAAAAGAAAGAACAAATTATGTATATTGTTTCAAAAAAAAAAACTCTCAAACCATATTGCTCTGCTAGAAACACAAAAAACAGTCAACGCAGAAGACTTCTGTGACCCCAAAATATGTGGGGATTTCTCCCCACTGGCAAGCAATTAATTCTGCAGCAGACACCAGCTGAGTGTCCTCCAATTTAATTCCAACACTATCCACCTGGAGACAGCATCGCATCCCAGAGAATGAGGGCTCTGTCCCCAAACTGCTTACCTTTCAGACACCAGTCATCAGTCCAGGCCTCCAAAACTTCTGACCAGTCAGCTTCAAGTTGGGATTCCCACAACCCCCTCTTTGGGTTTAATTAATTTGCTGGAGCAGCTCACAGAACTCAAAAAAAACACTTAAGTTTACCAGTTTATTATAAAGGGTATTACCAAGGATATAGATGAAGAGAGGCATAGGGTGAGGTGTGGGGAAGAGGCATGGAGCTTCCACGTCCTCCCCAGGCCCAACACCCTCCAGGAACCTTTACCTGTTCAGCTGTCCGCAAACTCCTGGAATCCAGTCCTGGGTTTTTATTGGGCTTCATTACATAGGCATGATTCATTAAGCCATTGGTCCTCTTCCCTACATAGAGGTTGGGGTTTGAGGCTGAAAGTCCCAACCCTTTAACCATGGGTTGGAAGTCCCAACCCTTTAACCATGTCTTTTTCCTTCCAATTAACCAGCCCCATCCTGCAACTATCAGTCAACATTAGCATACAAAAGACAGCACTGTGGAGATTCCCTGAATTTAGGAGTTGTATGCCAGAAAAGCAGAGTGTGATACCCTACCTTGTTTTTTTGGTTTTGAGAGGGAGTCTCGCTCTATCACCCAGCCTGGAGTGCAGTGGCGCGATCTCAGCTCACTGAAAACTCTGCCTTCTGGGTTCACACCATTCTCCTGTGGCAGCCTCCCAAGTAGCTAGGACTATAGGCGCCCACCACAACAACTGGCTAATTTTTTGTGTGTTTTTAGTAGAGACGGGGTTTCACCGTGTTAGCAAGGATGGTCTCGATCTCCTGACCTTGTGATCCACCCGCCCCAGCCTCCCAAAGTGCTAAGATTACAGGCGTGAGCCACTGCACCCCGCACCCTACCCTGTTTTAACGTGAATTGACTCTCCCTTAGCTAAGAGAGCCAGACAGACTCCATCTTGGCTCCTTCACTTGCAGCCCCTTACCCGCCCTCTTTCCTCAAGGACTTAAGTTGTTCAAGCTGACTCCCAGCACAGCCAAGAATGCAATTAACTGATAAGATACTGTGGCAAGCTATATCCGCAGTTCCCAGGAATTCACCTGGCTAATAGCACTCAGAGTCCCGGCGTTTGTGTCCGGTTGATAATGCCAAAGCCCCGCATCTATCACCTTGTGATAGATTTAAAGCCCCTGCACCTGGAACTGTTTGCTTTCCTGTAACCATTAATCCTTTTAACTTTTTGCCTGCTTTACTTCTGTAAGACTGTTTTAACTAGACTCCCCTCGCCCTTTCTAAACCAAAGTATAAAAGAAAATCTAGCCTCTTTGCCATCTCTCGGTCTCTGGCTAATAAAAGAGTCCTGAATTTGTCTCAGAGTGTGGCGTTTCTCTATAACTTACTCAGTTACATTAAGAGGAAGACCAAATATGTATTTCGCAATAGCACAGTCTACCCTCCCCGACCTTTGAACACCAAGGTGTTTGAACATTAAAAGGACATACAATTTAAAAACTACTGCCACATTACTAGAATCCCATTCAATCAGTAAGAATTAGTCCAGTCCATCATATTGTATTAATGTCTTTAGAGGGAAGTCACTGGGGCCTGCAGGTTTCCTTTCATTCAGTTCCAAAAGTAGGAACAAACATAGCTGCATCCTTTCAGACATCTGTTGTAATTGAACTAACAGACATGTCATCTCTTGCTCTGAGCCCCTTTCAAGGTGTTAATGTAATGTTGGATTTCCCTCCATTTATAACCGATTTATTCATTCCTTTGCGCTCAGCTACTTCTCCCCTGCTCCGTTAATACCTAAACTTTTTCACCTTTGGGAGGAACATTAGAACCGCCACTGTGCTGGTCTAGATTGCAAGCAGCAATACTAGTCTAGCAAGTGCCTCCTCCTCAGTTGGACTGCCATTAAGGTGGGGTACAGTTCCATAGGTGCAGAACTAGTGAGCTATTTCTACCACCAGGCAATATAGCTGCATTCTTTCACCACAATTTTGCTAGACAGGATGAAGGCACAACCCTTCCCCCTCAGGCCCTTAGGAATTCTGACATAAGGTCTGAAAAACACTGACAGTTTCTTGCTTAGAAATCCCTGCTTCCAGCACTTGTAGTTGCAGCCCCAGTCCTAGGACTGTTGCATCATGTTGGCAATAGGCCCCCAAAATCTGGCCATAAACTGCCCCCAAAACTGGCTATAAACAAAATCTCTGCAGCACTGTGACATGTTCATAATGGCCATGATGCCCACGCTGGAAGGTTGTGGGTTTACCAGAATGAAGGCAAGGAACACCTGGCCCACCCAGGGCAGAAAACTACTTAAAGGCGTTCTTAAAACACAAACAATAGCATGACCGATCTGTGCCTTAAGGACACGCTCCTGCTGCAGATAACTAGCCAGAGTCCATCCCTTTATTTTGGTCCATCCCTTTGTTTCCCCTAAGGAATACTTTTAGTTAATCTATAATCTATGGAAACAATGCTTATCACTGGTTTGCTG